GTCCACCCTTGAATTTCTGGTCGGAGTGTTCGGCAAAGTATGAGCTATCGGAGGTTTCATCATGTACCTCGCATTGGGCGCGCGGCCATCAGCGACGATGCTGGGCAACCGTCAGACTTTCCTCTAGCATGGCCACCTGGCTATGCAGCAGAGGGGTGTGCCGTGGCCTCGTCGGCAGTCCCAGGCATCCGCTGTGGCGGCTCAGTGCTCCGCGTCCATGTCGCGATCGCCGCGGGGGCAGGTGCCGCGGGCAGTCCGCCCGGCGCTCCTGGACAGATCGCCGCCTCCAGGGCCGACTTCCGAACTGGGAAGGATTGGCATATCGCAGCGCGAGCTGAATTCATCGGCGCGGTGTTCTGCTGCTGCGCGGCAATGGCTGCGCCGCCAGCGTCCGCGCCGGAGAGCGGTGCCTGGCCATGGTTCTGTGGGCTCCCGGGTCCGCCGCGTTGCTGCGCGCGGGCGGGTGGGGCGGGGAGACGCGGGCCGCCGCTCTCGCCGAAGCCGGCGCCCCAAACCCTGAACTCTAAACGCCCCGCGTGCCGCGGGGCCTAGGCGTCGCCGCGGCCGCGAGAGACGCCCCGCGTAACCGCGCTCGGCCCCCGTGGTGGGGGGTCCGGGTGAGGCCGCGCGGGGGGCCGCGCGGGGGGCCGCGCGGCCTGGGCCGCGGCCGCGGCCCCCGTCTCGATTGTGGCGGCGCCAGCCCTGCCGGCAGGGTCGGGGGGGCGCCAGTGGGCTCGAGAGTCTGCGCCGAGAGCCGCGCCGAACACCGTTGCGCGCAGCGTCGGTGGTGCTGCCGCCGCGACCGATAGACGCAACGCGGGCGCCGGCCCTGTGGGTGGATGCGGCCGGGCGCCGGCGGGCAGGAGAGGGGGCGAGCGTCGCCCAAATGCCGAGGGGTGCGGCGGAGAGCGCTCGAATAGGACGCCCCCGCCAGGGCCGGCCCGCGCGGTGGTCGGGGCCCGAGCGAACCAGCTACCGCCGATCACAAATTCAGGGGGCCTCTTGGCGGCCCCGGGGGCCTTGGAGCGTCTCGGGGAGTCTCTTGGGGCCTCTTGAGGGTCTGGGGGCCTCCTGTGGGCCTCCTGGATTTCTTTTGGTGCCTCTTGGGCGCTTCGTGGGGCCAACTTGAGGCGCTGTCGGGGGCCGTGGGGGCGCCCTTTGGGCCATCTTGGAGGGTGTTGATCGAAAGTGAGGGGGGCGTGAATTAGCGTTGCCCTTCGGGGGCCGCGAAAGTCGCCTCTTGGGGCGCTCCGGAGGCGCTCTTAGGCGCTCTTGGGCGCTCTTGGGGCCGTCTTGGGGCTCTCTTGTGCCTCCCTTGGGCCCTCTTGGCCCATCTTGGAGCCGTCGTGAGGATTCGGATGGCCATCCGAAGCGAAAAGGCGAGAAAGCAACGCACATGGATTTTCCGACGGTTCTGGAAGAGTTTTATCTTCCTGGGGTCCTCTTGGGGGGGGGCGGGCCCTTCTTCGAGTGGGGCTGAGGGGCAGATGGACGACAGAACGCCCTAGACCACCTGCGCCCTAAAAGGGCTCGCGGGCGTCGGGCGCCCCTGGATTGACGTTTCAAATTGAGAAGGGGCCATTTTCACATTGGAAAAGGTGCCAATTGCAGATTGATATTCAGATATGACAAAGTGGATTTGAAAAATGAACGGTTCCAAATTGAGAAAGGAGCGATTTCAAATGGAAGAAGGACAGATCTCAAGTGCGCCGCCGCCGATTTCAAATTGATGCTCGGGCCCGTGGCGGCCCCATTTCGCGGGGGCTATGTGAGGGCATCGGGCTTCAGCTGCCTGCGTGGCCGCGGGAGGCTTTGGGCCCTCCGCGTGGCTCGGGGGAAGAAGTGCCATGCTCTGCGCGGGCTGGACGCTGGCGCGTGACGCGTCAGCAGACCAGCTCGCGGACGTTGGGCCAACCCCCGCAGCGGCGCGCACGGCAGCGCGCCCCGGGTGGAGCGCGGGCTGCTCTGCGCCGAATCCGTGGCCCTGGTCTCCGCCGAGTGCGACGCGGCCCCCAGCCCCGCAGCCATTTGGCTTGTCTGGCAGGGCGCCCCCCCCGCAGGATCGCCCTTCTTGGCCCCCGCAGAGAATCTGTCGTTGCGGCCGCCCACCCCGCTGCAAAATCGACCGTGGCATTTGCGCGTCGACTCGGCGCCCCGGCCGGGCGGGTCAGGAACTGGCGCCCAGTGCCGGGGGATAGCCTTCGGCCTTTTCCTTCCCGCGAAGCAGCGCCCGCTATAGCCCTGGCGACGCAGTGACGTCGCAGCGCCGCCCTGGTTGCGCCGAGGGGCGCCGACGCATCCCTACATGGGGCGCGCGAGGCGTTTTATTTACTGCAAACTTTTCGGTCTCTCTATAGGGGGGGAAAAGTGATGCAAACGAGAACTCGGAGGTCCGCGCGGACCTCGAGAGTTTTTTTTTTTGTTTTTTATGCCACTTTTTGTTCCTGTGCTCTTGGGTCCATGCACAGTGGCCCCGTCTCAATCCGGACCTCCCTTCCTCTGGGGCCAGCGAATGATGTCTCGGGGCCCATCCCGCGACCGCCTCGACGTGGCCCGAGCGGAGAACCCGACCAATGCTGCGCTGGCGGGCGCGGGGCCAGACGGGCGTGCGCGGCGACGGATGGGGTTTGCTCCAGCCGAGCTCGCCCCATGCTGGCCAGGGTAGGTTGCGGTGGCTACGGCGGGCCCGGCGGTCGGCTCCGCGGCTCTGCCCGCGCCCGCGACCTGGCCCAGTCTGCGCAACGGGCGGAGGCGATGGCCGTGCTCCGTCGGGTAGCCGCGGCCGAAGGGCCCGTGCACGTCCTGGCCAAGACGAACCGGGCGGCTGTCGACGGATTTGAAGATTGCTCAGGGGGGCCGCCACAAAGCGCGTCCGCGACCTGGCCCAGTCTGCGCAACGGACGGAGGCGATGGCCGTGCTCCGTCTGGTAGCCGCGGCCGAAGGGCCAGTGCACGTCCTGGCCAAGAAGAACCGGGCGGTTGTCGACGGATTTGAAGATTGCTCAGGGGGGGCCGCCACAACGCGTTGGGCCATAGCCGACCTGTGGCAGGGCATTCACCGGGTGCTCCCGGCGAAGCCCGACATGTAAGATCCCGGAAGTAGGAACCATTTGGGGGGCGCAGGTTATCGGCGAAGGGCGCGCCGCTCCGACCAGAGAAGCGTTCGTGTGACGCGCTGGTGAACTCGCCGCCTCAGGAGCAAGGCTTCGCAGCGTCCCGCAGAGTGTGGCAGGCGCCGCCAAGTGGCGACGCAAGCTCGCCGCTGTCCTACACGCCGCGGCCGTTGCCATTCAGGGCCTGCGACGATAGACGCTGCCGCCCCCTCGCAGCAGAGCGGGGTGCTCTAAGGCTGAGCTCTTGAAGGTGGCGCCGAACCTGCTCGCCATTGGCTAGGGGGGCCGCAGCTCGGGCGCGCGTGCAGGCCGCCTCCCATGGGCGGGCCATGATTTTCTGGCTATTCGACGAACTCGACGACCCCTGGTCCACGCCCGCGGGCGATTTCGAGGGCGAGGGCCTCGGCCCGGTAGGGCTCAGTGCTTCTCTCAGCGACGAGGAAAACAGCGAGCTCTCCACGCGCGCGCCCCCGTGGCCAGGACATTGTCGTGGACCGCCCTCTCGCGCCGGCTAGCGCCTTGCCCGCTGGCGCCTGGGTGGGTCGTGGAGCGGTGGCCGCCCATCGCGCCCGAGGAAGCTAGCCCTCTCAGTCGGCCCGCCCGTTTTCCGACGAGCGCGGCCGCCGGCCGCGGAGTGCCGGCCGCCTGGCCAGCGGGGCCGCCCAGCGCGCGGACCGCGGGCGAGCCCTCGTGCGAATGTCGCCCCGGCGAACAGCCGGCAGCAACGGAGCCTCGAGAACGCCCCCGCCGCCGGGTCGCAGGCGCCCTGACGCCGCGCCAACCATCCAGCGCCCTCCCTCCGCCAACTGCAGGAACGAGCAGCCCCGCTGGTCGACGGGTGCCACCGAGCGCAAGTTGGCAACGCGCAGAGGGGGGTAGGGGGAGGGGGGAAGGCTTCTTAGAAACACCCCCTGCTTCTTACAAGGCGTGGGCCTTCTCTATAGACGTAAGGCCGAGGCCTTCTAAGAAGCAGGGTGCTTCTAAGAAGCCTTCCCCCCTCCCCCATACCCCCATTGGCGCGCCGCCAAGCAAGGGGCCCTGGGCGGCCTGCAGCAGGCCTTCCGGCCCGCTGCCGTTCTGGGGCGCCCCGCCCCCGGCAGCCTCCACGCCCGCCTCGACGCTCTCAGGAGGGGGAAAAACATACACAGAGACAAGTAATCGTCGATTCCCAGGAACATATGGGAAAATTTGGGAAGTGGGGGGGAGGACAAGAAACCCAGAAGATATGGGAAAATATGGGGAATTTTTTTTTCATGTGTGTGTATTTATTTGTGTGTCCTGGGGCCCCTTCACGCTCGACGGGCGGCGCGCCGGTGCTATGGTCCCACCTCCCCTCTCCCGCGGGGCACGAGCGCGGCGGGCGCCCGCGCCGTCGTCCGCTCTCGGCGGGCCGCCGCGGGGGGCGCCCCAAAAAGCGGCGCTTTGTCGCCGTCCGGAGTGCGCTGCGTCGCGCTGCGTCGCGCAGGCCGAAGAGCGCGCGAGGGGGCGGCGCTTCCGCCACGGGGGGCGCGGGCGATCCCGCGGCGGCCTGTGCCGGGCGCGGTCCGCGGGGCCGCTCCGGGAGGGAGGCGAGGCCGCCGCGCCTGTTGCATGTGCGGCGCTTCCCGCTGATGCGAGGACGGCCTGCCGATCGCTCGCGACCCGGGGGCCAGGGCTGAGGGCCGCGGCCCGACGTGTTGCGATCTTGCGCTCGTTCTCTCGACGCTGTTGCCATTTCCTCCCGTGCCTTCCCCCCTGTCACGCCCCTGTGCCTCCCGTTGCTCCCCGGCCTCCCTGTCGTCTCCTCCCTCTAGCTCTTCCTTTCGCTCTCCCTTTCCGTCTCCGCCCTCCCATCCTGCCCCGTTCTTCCTCCGCCTCGCGCCATCCCGCCGCCGGGGCGGGGCGGAGGTTCACCAATCCTGGCGAACGGGAGCTCGTGGTGGGCAGCCCCCGTGTGGCGCCGGTGTGCCTGTGGGGGAGGTTCGTTTTTGTTGGTTTGCGAGGCCATTGAAGAAAGAGGCTGGTTGACGAGGGGTGGCGGGGTGGCGAGGGGGGAGTGCAAGCTGGGCGCGCTCGCGCCATCTATGACATCCGACCCCTCCCACCCATCCCTTTCCAACTGCGCTGGTTTTCTCGATCCGCCGACGCCGGTCGTAGACCTGGAAGTCCAAAAGAGACCCCATCGTGCTGTGCGCAATCGGAACAGAAAAGGGTTGCGTACGTTGGGGGAGGAGGTGGTGGCGGATGAACAGGAGTAATAGAAAGAGGCCGATCAGGATTACAAGGAGGATGACGAAGGGGAGGAGGAGCATGAGGAAAGAAGAGGACGAGGACGAACAACAGCAACATGTGCAAGAGCATGAGGACCATGGGAACGCGGAGGATGGGACAAGAGGGGGCGACAAGGATGACGAATGGCTCGGATCCAGAAAGTGCCCCGCGCTTGGGCGAGAGCGCCATGCTGAATGACGGGAGCAAGGAGCCGATTCGACCATACTGGCCTGGGGGATAGCAGCGGCCCCCAACTGTGCACCTCCCGGCCTTGGTCAGGAGGGATTTTTGCGATTCAGTGAGCTCCTGTGGGAGCATCAGCTTCACGTCCCAACCTCATGGGTGGCGATGCGGCGCCAAAGGACATCCTTCTGGGGCCGAAGAAGCCATTGTGGAGCTGCACGAAGTGTCACAGGAAAGGCAACTGGGCGTGCAGGATCCGCTGCGCCTGCGGCTCACCAGCGCCAGCTGCGGTTGCCAAGGCAGCCAGGTCGGCACATGAACGGGAAGTTGCAGGGAATGGTGCTGCTGGGCAGAAAGGGCCGAAGGGCAGGTGGGCCGATGGTGCACCAGCTTCCTTGGACAAGGCTCTGCAGGCGATTGTCAAGAGGCTCGAGAGCTTGGAGAAGCCAGCTACCAGAGTGGTGGCCAAGTCGCCGCCATGGGCTGACAAGGTGGAGTCCGCTGAGAAGGAGCTCAAGGACAGGCTGGCCCACTGGCAGAAGGCGGCGCGGCTCTCTGTGCACGACACTGACAAGAGGATGGCGGAGGACATGGTCGCACAGCTGCAGCACCAGATCCAGGAGGCCAAACCTCTGCATGTACAAGCTCACTCAGTCACTACCAGACTGGAGAGGGCAAGGGACAACGTCACGAAGTTGGAGAAGCATGTCTCGGACACCAGGGATGAAATACAGAAGGCGAAGGACGAGCTGGACAAGAAGCTCGCGGATGCGGAGACGGCGCTGCAGGAAGCACGGCGTCAACAGCTGGCCTTGCAGCAAGAGGCCAAGGAAACCTTCGCCAAGGGCTTCTGCACTGACGGCAGTGGGCCCATACTCAAGATGGACGAGTCGATCTTGGCGGGCGCCAGTACTGAGTTCAGGGAATGGTTCGTCTCCAAGAAAGCCACGGAGGATGCGCATTTCGAGACGCTCCGCAAGCTCATGGAGGCCCAAGCTGTTGCTGCAAGCAACGCTATGCGCCCTCCTCCCGCTGTGCCAGGGGGCGGTGAGCAAGACGACGACGCCGAGGACTGCGACGACGCCGACATGGACCTCGACGATGCCGATGAGGGCATCGACAAGCTGGGACAGGCACAGGCCAGCGTGGCCGCAGCCATGTCGGCGGCCACCTCAGCAACTGGCGACGCCAAAGCTAAGGCTGAGCAGGAGCTTACCAGGGCCAAGCGGCTACTGGCTGAACAGATTGCAGCCATGGCAAAGAGGCGAAAGAGAGGGTAACTCGTCTGGTGAAGTTCGATTGAGTGGATGGGCGGCAGCATCAGAGCAGCTCTGTCAGGGTGAGCTGTCGCTTGGTTTCTTGCTCTACTTCGTCAGCATGCACTGCGAGTGCTATGCGATATGCGATGAGTTGCCAGCTGAGGTGCAACGTAATGATGGGCAGCATGATGTTGAGATGCAGCAAGTCATCATGCCTGGCGATTTCTTGGCTGGGAAGGAGATTGATGTGGAGTGGCCTGACGTTGGGTTTCAGATTCCCTCGCTGCAGCGTTCACAGATGTTCGACGATGCCAGGTTTGATCCGAAGTACTACGTGCCAGTGGGCTACAGCTTGGGCTGTGGGGTCGGGGATTCAGCCCCCGTTCGTCACCCCCCACAGCCCACATGGATTTCGGGAACAGGTGCGTGGGCGAGCACTTCTGCGTCGAGCGGCGCACTCACGGCTCCTTGGGAGCCGCAGAAGTCGCCGCAGGAAGACGCTGCGCTACACTCTGATCTACCTGATTTGCCTCCACTGGCCCGCTCCTCGGGGTCGAGGCCAAGAGCGACGCTGAGCACATCTGCAGGATCGAGTGCCTTGTCGACTGCCTGTGCGGCCCCGTTTGGGGGCAGACGTCGCCATGTAGCTGGCCCCGATGGCACGCATTGTCGTTCTCAAGCCGAGCAGGCAAAGGAGGACGGCAGTACCGACCATTGGGGGGCCTCGATAGGTCAGAACGCAGTGGGTAAGTTGGGAGAGCCCACTGACATGGATGTTGAGCCACCTCCAGAGGATCCAGTGTCACCTCAGCAAATATTTCTTGATGCGATGATCCTGAGGGCGACGGGATGGATACTTAGACTAGATTGCGAGTCCAGCGGGTGCCGCGATTGGATGACCTGGTGCGTACCGTACGTCATGGCGAAACTGCAAGTGGTAACGTGGACTGAAGAGGCAGCGGCTGGACGCTCGATTGAGCAAATGGCTCAGGACATCTGTTTTGATTGCTGGCAGAGTTCCGGGCCTGGCCGCAGGAACGTGATTGAGTACATGAACTGGGTTGGCAGACGGGAGTCGCATGAGTCTTGGGAAAGGGCAGTCAGTCGGCACTTCAGAGCTCTGAGGCACACGCGCAGAGCAATGAGGCTCTACCTGGGTAACGCTGCCCCCCCAGCAGTGAGAGAGTATCGCGAAGATGCTGATGGTGAAATCCTGCCTCTTGTTGGACGTGATGGGCTACCTCGGCCAACGCCTGCAGACGAGGCCCTGCAGCAAGATGATGAGCAGGTACCTCAGCGTGAGCCAGATGATGATGATGCTGCAGATGATCGTCGTAGGAGGAGCTCCAGGCACGATGCTACTGCGCCCTCTCCGCTTCCTAGGCCAGCGGCTGCGGCTTCGCCTCAGGACTTGCTGCTACCATTGCATGATGAAGATGAGGCTGACCGAGCAGGCAGGGGAAACCAACCTGCCACGCCTGGGGCCAAGCGGGTAAGGGCCAAAAAGCAAAATGACAAAAGCTGGGGCTTTATGACGTGTAATGCTAACTCCTGGGCCTCTTGGGAAACCGTCCTGGATTGGAGGCTGGATGAAAAAGACATGGCCTCCCACCTCCCCACTTCTACGCCGGGCAGGAAACCAGGATCAGAGCCCAGGAGGAGATCGATAAGCATCGAAAGGCCCTCAGGTGCAAAGGACTGTGTGTGGACTTTGTACCTGCTGTCAGCACTGGTGAGCATGTGCTGTCAACGTCTGCTGGTGTGGTGACGGGAGCTCGGAAGTTCTTGAATCAGAAGACCTTAGAGGCCCAGGAGATCACCAAGGTGCCCCAAGCTGCAGGTAGGGTGTGTGCTAGGCACGTTCAAGCTGTGCTTCCTGGGGGCATTGTCTGGGTCTCTGTGTATTTCTGGCATTCGATTGGGGTCAAGGGCGAGAATGCGGACCTCTTAGCTGGGCTTGGAAGGTTCCTGGAGTCCCTCACCGTGCCATGGGTCATCGGCTGCGACGCTAACATGGAGCCGAACTCCGAAGGTCTGAAGGCTTGGTGCTCCCAGCTTGGAGCGTCGGTGGTGGCTTCAGCTGAAGCTACGTGCAGTGCAGGAGTTGGCAACAACCTTGATTTTTTCTTGCTGTCGCACGGCCTGAGCCAGTGCGTCGAGAGTATCAGCGTGCTCCACGACGCGCCCATCAGTCCCCACTCGCCTGTCGAGCTTTGGTTGAAAGGAATCTCGATGGCAATCCCGATCCACGTCAGGCTTAAGAGGAAGCGTTTCCCGACAAAGAAGCCTATTGGGTGTATCAGACAGCCTGAACATAGAGTTTGGTCTTGGGATTCTGGGCGTGATGATATTGATTTCTTGGGCTCTTGGGAACAGTGGATTACCAATATGGAGTTTGAGCTCTGTCGAATATGCGATATATACGGTGAAGCTAGGCAGGTCTATCTTGGGAGGTCCCAAGGGTTCCAGAGGAAGGTCCTGTCTCTGGAGCTGTTTCTGAGGAAGAAGTGGTTCTCCAACTCTACTCCCCAGCTTAGGGCGTGGCGCTCGCTCGTGGCCTTGCTTGCTAAAGCTGAACATTGTGCTGCGAACAACTTCGAGGGCACGCTTTGGGAGAGAGTCAAGGCAGGCATACTTCGACTAGACGAAGAGCTGCTGCTGCCTTTAGTCATTGCGCCATCGATCAGCGACATGATCGAGGCTATCACGTGCACGGATGGCCGAGAGCTAGGTTTTTTCCTGCCCACAGCCAGACCAACGCATGATCACCTGCTCAGCCAGCACTCGCGTAGGAGATGGGCTAAGTGGAAAGCGCGGGCTAAGGAGTCAGTGACTAAGGGAGGCAAGGAGGCCCACAGGTACAGCAAGATGAAGATGCCAGTCGTCGGACCTCGGGGGGATCAAGGGTTTGAACTCCAGGGGGACATGGCGATCCAGGCGCTCGAGAGAGAATGGAATGTGCACTGGCAGAGTCATCGGTCGGGGCTTACAGAAGGGCAACTTGAGCTAGCCAAACAGTCTGAACCTCTTGGAAGACCCGATCTCCAGGTGGTGAAGTGGGCTCTGCACCGATTCAAGCACGAAGCGGGCCTCGGAGCGGACGGCATCAACCCGAGGTCCTGGGCCCTGCTGCCTCAGGATTTCCTCATTAGGCTCATTGATATGATGATGGCCTGGGAGAGGGATCCTTTCAGCATTCCAGATAAGTACCCCACGATCATTGTCTTTCAGGGCAAGCAAGAAGGGGAGGGCCTCAGGCCCTTGGCGCTCATCCTGTCGCTTTTCAGGTTCTGGGGCCGAGTTAGGCAGTGTGAAATGAGGGCCTGGGAGGCTCAGCATCGTACGCCGTTCTTTTGGGGCTCCAGGGACAAGGAGTGCGACCGTGCTGGATGGCAACATGCAGTGATGGCTGAATTTGCACGAGCTAAAGGGTTCGAGTCGGCCACGCTGTGCAAAGACCTCGAGAAGTTTTATGAGAGAGTCGCTCCAGGGATCCTGTTCGATGAAGCCAAAAATTGTGGGTGTCATCTGGGCCTTACGGTTTGTGCTATTGCTCTGTATACGGGGCCCAGGGCCATCGATTTCTCTGGAGCGACGTCGGGGTTTTTTTCGCACGACGGGTACTATATTGGCTGGCTGCAGCTTGGCGACCTCGTTCGCCAAGATTGTCTTGTACCGCGTCCTGTGCTGTTTGGCGCAGACCTTCCCCTCCCTGTACATTAGGAACGTCGTTGACGACGTGTCGCTGCAGCTGCTGGGCACTGCCAAGTTCGTTGTAGAGAATCTCTCAGCAGCTGGCATCCAACTAAGACAGGGGTTTGATGACTTGGAGCTGGTTGTCTCGGGGAAGAAAACGGTCTTCTTGGCGTCGACCCAGGAGGTTTCTGAAGGTCTTCAGAAAGCTTGGAAGCATCTGAGGTACACGATGAAAGAAGCTGTCAGGTCTCTTGGTTGCGATGCCGTATGCAGAAGGATTCGTAGGAATGTGACTTCACTAAAGCGTCTCCGAGGTGCAGCTCGGAAAGCTCGAAGGCTCTGGAAACTGAAAGTGGCTGGTGCGGAGATAAGTAATGTATACAGAGCAGGGCCTCAAGCGGGAGCTCTATGGGGTACTGCGGTAGCGGGCCTTACGGCAAGCCAAGTACACACACTAAGAGTAGCAGCGTGCAAGAGTTTGTCCAAGCATAAAGCTGGTGCGATCACATCATACAAGCTGCGTGCGCATGATAGGGGCAGAGCCATGGACCCGTACATCCTGTACCATGCCAATGTAATACATCAATGGGCGCGTGCAATATGGGATGGCACACCTCCGTTGTATGTGATGCAGTATGTGTTCGAGCTTGCGGTGGATGCAATGGCTTCTACGCGCAGGCCGTGGCTGAGCGCAACATCGCCTGCGCACGTCTTGCTGTTCACGCTGTCAGAAATAGGGTGGCGGCCAGTCAGTGCGAGGATCTTGTTGAAAGCGGACGGTGGGAAAGTTGACCTCCTCCAGCTTGCACCGTTGTCGGTCAGAGATCTGGCGGAAAGAGATGCAGGACGCAGGGCTGATGTGAAAGGTTTGAAGTGTAGACCGTGCCTCAATAAGTCCTGGGTCCGTCCTGTGTTTTGGGAAGGGGCCTTGAAGGTCATCAACGGGGCCAAACATGAGGCTTGGCATGACCACCATCAGGCGTGTGCTCGTAATTGTTTCTCCATGGGCACCTGGACGCAACAAAGACTATGCGATCATCACCTTGCTTCAGACAGTGTGTGTCGACTCTGCTTAGGTGCCCCAGGAACCCTATTCCACAGGAGATTCGAGTGCGCCGCTTTCGATGCTGACCGTCGGGAGCACCTCGGCGACGAGACCAAGCACGCAGCCAGATTAGCATGTGAGCTCGGTCAAGATCTCGAGAAGTTTGCTGCAGGGCTGATGCCAGATCCGCGGGAGATCACGACCCCAGCGTTATCGACCAGTGAGTGCCAAGTGTTTTGGTTTAATAAGCCAGCTAGTGGGATGTTGTCGGGTCACCTGTTCACTGATGGATCGGCCCTCGACCCCACCTCTTCCAGGTTTCGTCGAGCTGGTTGGTCGATCTGTGCGGTGTCTGCTAATGGTGACCTCATCTCTGCTGCATATGGACCAGTGCCAGTACAGGCGGCACCGTTCCAGCAGGCACGTGACGGGGAAGATTTCGCGTATGTGATGCTTGCTGACATTGCGGCGGGCAGTTTTGAAACCTACACGGATTGTGAAGGGACCCTGGGGTGCGTTTGGGATCGACATGGATCGATTGGCTCGAGTAATCCCAGGGCCCATATGTGGTCGCGTGTCTGGCATGTTTTTGAAGATGGATTTGTGGCCCACAAAACGTTGGGGCACGCCACGATGAATGACATTCTTGAGGGCCGATCCACTGCCTTCGAGAGGCAAGGGAATAGGCACGCAGATAGGTTTGCTAAGCTTGGAGCGTCCAAACACCCTGACGTCTCTCTGGCCAAGGTGCAAGTAGGGGCCCTCCAGAGACTCCAGGAGGAAATCATTCGGTGGGGAGGGGTCCAGGATGTCCTCATGAACCAGCGTTCGTGGTCGGACTCGACTGGTTTCCCTGAGCCCACTGGCGTGCAGGATTGCCTGGCCCCTGCACCATCCTGGCATGCGAAGGCTAAGAGACAGCGGGCCTTCGAGCGCAGGTCTTTGCAGGCGGCTGACCGTCTCGGTGTGAGAAGGACCCTGATGAGTTTTAAATCTCCCCTTTTTTTCGGACACGAAGGCTAGCGTTTCCAGTGCCAAAGCTGTATCTGAGAGCCAAGCTCTCGTGCTCTTGCAAGGTCACAACCTTAGAATGTATAATGTCTGGGACGGGGCGGGAGCTCGGGTGGCGGGGAGTGGGTGGGTGATGGGCTGCGTCAGATGTGGGGGCTACGCGTGGGGCGGGGTAGACACTTTGTGCAAACCTTGCCCCGCGCAGCCCCCCACGAAGGATTTGAAGCAACAGAGGAACCGTCCTTAAAGGCCTCTTCCCCAGCTGGGCCAAGCAGTACAAAGGGTGGCGTGTCAGCGACCAGAGGGCGCCGATGCCATCTGACCTCCTTGCGCTGGTTCGAGCCACAAGGAGGGGAGTCCAGGTTTTGGAGGATGTGGAGGCTGAGGACGGTGCTGTTTTTGACTCCACGTGGGGTGAAGCTTGGACGATTCCAGAGCTCTACTCCAAGTTCGGCCTGTTGCCGCCCGCTGGTCAGGAGCCCCCCCTGAGGGGAGAGGATTCAGACTAGCTCTGTTTTTGCTGTTAGGGGTGTCTGGCATTGACAGACACTCCCAACGAGAATAGAATAGAATAGAATAGAATAGAATAATGCCCACGTTGCAGCGGGAACACGTTTTTGAGATACCGCAAACTATCGGATTGTTTAACGAAATAAGAATGAACATCATGATGAAATCTGGTGTGTCAAAAGATTGTACGCGGGGAGGGCCGGACATCTTCTGCTCATAGTCACGGGAGTGAGGAGAGCAGTACCTATAGTGTGTAGTTGTGGGGGAGGTGCACGGGGGATGGAGGAGGGCCACGGGTGTGTGAAGGGACGGGCGCCAGAGGATCAGGAGAGGGTGGGCAGGGGGTGGGCACGGAGGGCGGAGGCGGGGAGGGAGAGACGGATGATACAGGGCGGAGGGCGAGGAGCATGAGAAGGGGGCACGGCGAGAAAAGCGGAGGGTGGTGCTGCGTGTGAACGATGGGGGCAGGGGGAGATGGGGTGACGGCCACCGCGGTGGCGCGGTGCTGGCGATTGCCAGCGGGCTGACGGGGTTGGGCGATCTGGCACTCGAGACATTAGTGCGCGATGTCGTTCGGGAGAGCGGGAGGGCGGGGACAGGAGGATAGAGTGAGGGGGCGACGGCGATGACGATGACGACGATGATGACGATGGCGAAGACGCTGCCGATGTCGGAGGGTGATGGTGATGCTGGCGATGATGATGTTGACGACGCCGCTGACGCCGACGACGTCGAATCTGATGGTGACAACGATGATGACGATGATGATGATGATGGTAATCTTGATGACGCTGAGCTAGGATGGTGATGCTGACGACGACGCCGATGTTGACGATGACGACGACGAGGAGGAGGACGAGGAGGAGGAGGAGGAGGAGGAGGCAGGAGGAGGGAGGAAGAGGAGGAGGATGAGGAGGAGGAGCAGGAGGAGGAGGAGGAGGAGGAGGAGGAGGAGGAGGAGGAGGAGGAAAAGGAGGAGGAGGAGGAGGGAGGAGGAGGAGGAGGAGGAGGAGGAGGAGGAGGAGGAGGAGGAGGAGGATAACGAGGGAGGAGGAGGAGGAGGAGGAGGAGGAGGAGGAGGAGGAGGAGGAGGGAGCCGCTGCTGCACCACGGCCGTCCGGCCCAGGCGGAGCAGTGGCTAGACGTGGCCTCCACGCTGCCCTTGGGCGTGTCCCGCGCG